TTTTCTCGGTTGATGCAGAAGGTTCTAGGACACATTCCACCACATCGGTTGGCATTGTACATGGATGATATCTGTATTATTAGCAAAACGTTTGAGGAACATTTAGTAAATCTCCAGGGAGTATTTGATGCATTGCGACAGCATGGATTACGAGTTAAAGCTAAGAAATGTGCTTTCGCAATGAAAGAAGTGAAATTTCTTGGACACAAAGTTTGCAACAAGGGTGTGCAGCCAGAGGAACATAAAGTAAAGGCAATTCGTGCATGGGTTGCACCAACTTGTCTTAAAGAGGTGCAAATGTTTTTGGGTGCAGTTGGGTGGTATCGGAAGTTTATCAAGGATTTTAGTACAATTGCTCGACCATTAACATGGCTTTTGGAGAAAGATGTCACATTCACTTGGGGTAAGGAGCAAGATGATGCATTCAATACACTAAGACATGAGTTGGTTAAAGCTCCAGTATTAGCCCATCCTGACCCCACTCGACCTTTTGTTGTTACCACGGATGCAAGTAAAGTGGGTCTGGGTGGTGAACTATCACAAGAAGATGCACAAGGACAATTACATCCGGTTGCATATTTCAGTCGTGCATTGACCAAACGAGAACGTTCATATCCAACTTATGACAGAGAAGTGATGGCTATGCGAGACACGCTTAAGCATTTTCGGTATTATCTGTTAGGAGCACAAGTAGTGATGAGGACCGACCACAAACCTCTTCTAAAGATCCTGGAACAGAAAGATCCATTTGGACGAAGAGCGACATTGATGAGAGATATAGCAGAATTCGAACCACGCATAGAGTTTATTCGAGGGCAGGATAATCACATGGCAGATGCTCTTAGTCGGATCGGATGGAATGTCAAGTGGGAAGAGAGAGATGAGGATACTAGTAAAGTGGCTACTATTGGTGGCTCTCAAGACGAGATTGGTCCATGCAAGGATGTAAGGTTGGACATAAATGATTTCCAATTGCAGCAAGAACGTGATTCAACCCTTAAGCCACATATTTCCACTCACCGAAACGAACATGGTTTATTCACACGAGATCATAAGAAGCAAGTGTTACTTCCAGCATCGCTTGTTCCCACCATATTATCATTAGCTCATGACGAAACAGGGCACCAAGGAGCAGATAAAATGCTTGCAAGAATTGAACCTCGTTATTGGTGGCCAAAGATGAAAGCAGAAGTAGAGAACTATGCAAAAACGTGCCAACGCTGTGCTGCTACTCTTGCCCAGGGACATAGAAAAGCACCCATTCATCAACGACTAAAAGAAGAGAAACCATTTGCGTTGATAGAAGTAGATCTCAAGGGTTCATTACCGAGAACGAAAGAGGGATTTGACAATATTGTTGTGATAACAGATCCATGTACAAAATATGTAGAGATGCATCCAATTCGAGGACAAACCAGCCAAGTTGTTTGTAAGACACTCATGGGTTGGATATCAAGATATGGTTTACCAAACAAAGTGCACTCTGACAATGGACCTTGTTTCATAAGCGAAACATTTGAACAGTTTTGCATAACCCAAGGCATTGAGCATACTTTCAGTCCACCCTATAGGCCACAAGGAAACGCGGGTGTAGAACGGATTAATCGTACGATGGGGGAAGCACTCACAAAATTGGTAGATAAACATCCCAACCGATGGTCTCAACACCTACCTGACGTACAACTAGCATACAACACAGCAGTTCATACAAGTACAGGAGTTTCGCCGTACGAACTAGTTTTCAAGGAGCACCCGCGATCAAAATTCGAAATTATAACAGAGAAGATATCACCAGCAACGGTTAGAGAGAAAACGGAACGACTGCGCGAGACTGTTAGTGAGGTATTTCAAAAAGCGCAAGAGTCCGATGCCAAGTTAGCGGGAAAACGCAGAGAACGGTACAACAGTAAAACTTCGTTTAAATCGTTGGGGGTGGGTCAACAAGTTTGGAAAAGAAATTTATGAGCAAAAACATTTGCAGATCGGTGGACGGGACCCTATGTCGTGGTAAAGCCCACGTCGGTAACCAAAACATCTTATGTAGTGAGAAGGAATAATGGAACTAAAGAAGAAATTGTCCATTACAATTACCTTAAACCTTATCAGATTCGACCTGTCAAGAAACCAAAGTCAAGGAATCCACCAAAGAAGAATGGGGTCGGACACCCAGCACTGGGTACCAGTGAGGACAGTGAATCTGACAGCAGAGAAGAGGAAATGCAACCAGAGAGAAGATATCCAGAAAGAATTCGAAGACCTCCAGAAAAATACACATAATACTTTTAAAGGGGGGAGTGGTGTGATATATTGACATTTATAGTTACATTGAAATAGATACTCGTAAATAGCAAACCTGTTTGCAGGCTATTAGGCATGGACCTTCGGGCTTAATAATTAACTTGAAGACTAAGACTATTATTATTGTACATGTGTTCGGAGTAATACAATATATAAATTTACAATAGAAGGGAATTAGAGGTATTCTCTGGATCGAGTGTTCATTAATTAGAAGTTGGTTAACAACATTGCCTGATTCAATATGTAGTCAGAAGTGTTAGATTGATTGAGATAATCTATTTCTTTTGATAATATTTTGCTTCTAAGCCTCGTTCTGGTATATTGTTTTCGAATCAGTTGGTTGAATAACATGTTTCTCATTTTTACTGCTCCTTCGTATTCTTACTGCTCGATAGAGAAGATAAATCAATACTAAAACACACAGACAGCAAACAAAGAACATTGGTTTTAGAGTCATTTCCAACAACCGTCGACTTTTATTCTTTCTGTCGTTTGAGTTCCAAAATGTCTTAATTTGCATGAACCGTAGAAAGATGGCAGGATGTGTGTTGTTTTTCGCGTGCGTTACCTTTTCTTCGTGTGCCTTTGTCGAAATATCTTTGTCTTTCAAAACATTTGCATTATTACTTGCCAATGGTGGAGCCATCATGATAAAATCGATATCCGGAGCTCTGGAAAGCGAGTTATGTTTCTTCTTACTGATACTTGGTTCTTTTCGCGATTTACCTGTTATATCAGCCATACAATATACACTCCATAATAATGGCACTAAATACACTACATTTTGCGTTAAAACCATATCTCTTCACCAGGAATGTTCAACAAAATTAATTTTCTCTCGGTTTTATTACAAAATGTAACAGAGAAAACTTGAGTATTCTCGTTCACTTAATTCGTTAGAACGTTTTGAAACAATTGATGTTGTACTATATGTTCATAGTGAACAGTCTGACGACATCGCACATGTTTTGCTTCTACCAGTAAATTCAACAATATTGTTAGCGGGTTGTTAAATTCATAATACTCCATTGAACAACAGGTCGAAATGTCGAACTGATTATTTCATGGACGTAATACTAAAACATTTGAATATATAAGATGTATCAATCTCCTCCCCAGGGTCGTTCGGTTAGAATCACAGTCAACCGTGATGCTTCGCGCGCTATGTAAATGTCACATATACGGAGAGTTAAAAATAGTGTTGTCTTTGAAAATAATCATACACTAAAAATGATATGCATTAGCTTTAGTATAAACAAAAAACTTTAATACATTTACCCGCTGGTGTTTTGATGAACTGATCCTGATTCCTGCCCCATCGCCTGCTACGTTCACGCAGTTCGTCCATGCTTTGATGGAGCAGGATTTCGGCGAACTCGCAATGCGAAAGCCCCCGTATTCCCATGCGGACTTTCTTTCCTATCCGTCCAAAGGACGTGCGTAGAACTTGTCAACGATATTCTTTTTGATATTCATACCCTCACTTGTTGGTCTTCCACGAATGGGAAATACAGAAGCCATGATTAGCCATCTACTTTATAAAATTAGAAAACGTTCTAAAATTATTGGTTAAGATAATGCTCCATTTGTACTTTGTATTACTGCTATTAAAATTGAAAAGGAACAGCCCCAGATATGGGGCTATTAGTCGAGTTTCGATGAGAAAGTGGTTCCCTGATATGGGGGCTTTTGATTATTTTAGGAAGGTGGCCAAAACAAATCCCTACCTTTCCCCGGGGTGGGATGGGTGGGTGGGGGTTAATATTGACTCAATAGTGAAAAGATTATAGAAACAGTTTTATAGATTCTTTATACAAAGACTACAATTTGCTGCAAACTGCGTCAGTGCAGGCTAGCTTATTAGTTATTTTGATTAACATGTCATCAGTAACTGTTCGTTTTATGCATGTTCACACTATTCACACCTAAATTTACAAAATGATAAAGAAGTCATTGAGGGTTATATTTGTTCAGGTTTGTCCTAAACGAATCAAAATTTGACATTTGTTAATTGTAAAAACCCTTTTATACTGTATTTATGAAAATTTTCTCTTTCCATGTGTTTCTTGTTTTGGTTTTGTTGTGTATAACCGCTGACCATATGCATTGCAGACGAAATTTCGAATTCCATTCAAATGCCCCTACCCCTGGGGGAAAATGACATGCAAAATAGGGTCAATCAATGATCTATTAACATATTCCAACTATGAAAAATATGACATCGTCTAAGAATAATGCAGATTAATGAGGATACACTTCGAATGTCAATCTTTCGTCACTAAAGTGGCTAATAAAATGGCGGAATACAAAACATTTTAGCGCGCAAAGCATCACTGTTGACTGTGATTCTTTAAGGTGACTCAATACAGTTTTAAAAAAAATTCACGATTAGATGCGTATTTTCGGACAACTATATTACTTGTTGATAAACAAAAAGTTCGTATTCTGCCGCATATAAGGCTGCAAACAACAGCCAAGTATTAGCTGGGTAGTTTGCAAACTTTAAAAATAATTGGACCTCAAACTTTGACCTCCAGAAGTAAACAAATAGCCAATACTGCAAACAGAATCTAAGTTTTGATCACTAGGCGGAATTTTTAGATGTAAAAAATCTTGTTTAAATTACACATTAAACAAAGGCCTGACAAAATTTGGTATTAATTTTTTGGAGCAAAAGTCAAGGTTTTTGCTATCCGCCCACGTTTCAACACCCCCTCTCCCAGGATCTTCTATCTCAAAAAAAACAGTTTTCTGCACAAACTATGCTTTTTTCAGGGGAAAATTTTAATTCTCTTAAAAAATACTTTATAAACACGGAAACCTTAAATATTTAAATAATTTTCATACCTTCTTGGGATTGCAAAAAGCAAAATCTGATTCATTTCTCTGCATAGCGGCAGGAAATTTCCCAGCTGCTCACACAGTTTATTCAATGCTGACCATAGGCACACTGGCGGAAAAATTGGGGGGGGGGGGGGGGGGGGG